TTTGGTCAAATACACCTAAAACAATGTCTAGAATGTGAAATGTTGGTATAATGGTGCTACTTGAAGCCTGAAAACGATCTCCCCCCAAAAAAAAAACCAAAAAAAAAAACGAACAAGTTAAATTTCACAAAACCTAATTTAAGTGGTGGAGCAAATAAGAACCCATTCACCATTCATTTTGGTGCTGCTCCGATTTGTTTGCTTAAAACTGCAAGGATGGAGGGCTGTGCTTTCTGAGTGGCCTTTTACTTTATGTATGTTTTCTCCATCCATCCTGTTTGGATGCCTTTCAGAGCTACTATAGGGCGAGAGGCAGGGCACACCTTGGACAGGTCACCAAGCTGATGCAGGGCTAACACAGAGAGACAGACAGCCATTCACACTCACACCTATGGGCAATCTAGATTCATCACTTAACCTAACCCTACTAACTGCATGTCTTTGGACTGTGGCAGGAAGCCGGAGTACCCGGAGAAAACATACAAACTCCATGCAGAAGCCCACAGCCTGTGAGCACAACAGTGCTAACAATGTTGCCACCGTGCTACCTCCTTTACATTTTCTCAGCATTTTAAAATCACAGAATTCTGATAAAAATATATAAAGTGGATCCATTACATAAAGGTCCATTACTATTAGGAGGTAAATCAGATTTGAGTAAAAAAATTTAACATGCTGACTTACTTTCATTTATTCTAATGGTAAACACTTTATTAACGTTATCAAACCACTGGTTTACTCACAAAAGGTTCTCAAAATTGAAAGCCTTCAAAAATGAAAATATATTGTAAAATACTGCTTTAGTTTTGTGGATATATTTTTATATATTTTGCTAAAATCTAGTGATGTTATCTGGCAGTTTAGAAATGTCATTCAGAGCAAAACATGATGACATGATGAACACCGATGAATTTAGTACACAGATTAGTGCTGGTATGCATCACCTCTATAAAAGGGAGTGCTGTAAACACTGCTCGGAGTCTGTTTTTGTCGTAGCGGTGGAGTCCAGGCTGACCATGGATACAGGGGTATTCACTGTACCAAGTAGCTGTAAGCCGGGCTGTAGAGCTTTAGGTGGGAGGATTCACAGCCTTGCATGAGTGTACACTCAGAGCGGCAAGGAAACAGCTGGTTGTGCCGCATGAGGTTAGAAAATGACTTGAACTGACAGACGGTAACAACCAACACTCAGTCACTGTCATCTAAACAGCAACACAGGTAATGAGTCAAAGTATTTGGAGCTTTCCATCACAGCAGGGCGGCATTATGTCGCCCAACCCACTGGATTTAATTTATTAATCACTACTGATGAAATTCTGTGTGTATAGCTGCCTCCTAATGACGATAAACCATAGCCGATAATGTACTCAGTCTGTTATGAAGCCAAACAATGCTTGGCAAATCTTTAGGAGATAGCTCTCTATTAATAGATCAAAGATACACATTCAACTGGGATCTCTTAATTCCAGGGAAAGCCATTTTTCCTGGTGGGGAACAAAAGAGAATTACCAAGGCTCAGCTGTCAAATGATAGCTCATGCAATGCTGAGCTGAATCTTTTTGAATATTGATAATAGTGTGTGAGTATGGTGGCGGAGCGGTCAGCAAATATAAGAGAAGGATAAATAGCTGCCAGTCATCACCTTAGGGTTGGTAATCCTCACCTCCGTGTCTAAAGGTCAGGAAAAGCTTGTGTAGGCCAGCGGAAAATGAGTCACCATCACACACAGCAGCACGTGAGCTGCAGCGGGCTTACAGTAGCCACGTGTGCAGCGTGATTGTGTGAATACATCACTTAATGGGCGCTAAGCTCCCTGTTATTTTAAAGGGTGTAGTTAAGAATGGTACTCACTGTGTCTGGATGCCTCTGTGACAGAAGAACGTAATCAAACATTTAAGCAGACAGAAATGATGGAGGTATTGAACATGATTTTTGGAATCTGAATGTGAACAGCTTTTATCCCCCTGAAAGATTCTGGGCACAAGAACAAATTGCTCTCTTAGGGTCTTCATGGGTTGCTGAGGTTGCCATATATGGGCCTTGGATGTGCTGGAGGTTCATTTAAACCTCATTCTCACTTTGCAATGCTGCC